CATTACCTTCCTAGTTACAAAGAAAAATAAATAAAAGGTGATTCCAATTATTGGACTAAACTTTTAATCATTAGTAATATGCTAAAAAAAAATAGCATTACTTCAGTAACACATTCAAAATTTAAAAACCAAACAAAGAATATAACATTTGGAGTAGAACATATAAAAAAAACTGGAGACCATATCTTTTCTCCAAATTAACCGATTCCAACGATTTTTTAGAAAATTCCGTAAACTTTTAAAAAACCATAAACAATATTGACAAAAAAGTGTATTCCTAAAAAAGTGCTATTCCTCAACAAGAATCATTAGGATTGCAAAATTTACAAAGGATTTTTTTTTTATTTATATGATATTTACAACTATAAAAAAAAAATACATCTAGTAAATTCGTACATCGATATAATGACATGGAACACATGTTGAGAAACTACCCATTGGTAGCACTTTAATAATATGTCTCTATTAGGAGATCACGTGGCCATCTTCTTTTCAGACGCCTCGGAGGGTTATCAGGGATTGAATAGGAAGCAAGGCTAGAAACAAGAGGGCTGGGATGGTAATGAAGTTTATCATGGAAGGATAGATATCTGGATTGGGCCAAATATGACACATAAGGAACATTAAAGTCATTGTGGATGATTTTATTTATAACAAAGTAAGGAGCATTGAGGATTTTGAATTGGATAGGAGAGGAATTTGAAGGTTTGCTGGAGCCCCATAGATCAACTCCGTAAGTCCAAATAGGCCTTATTATAGTCATGTAAATGAGTCTTTTGTAATTAATTGGAAGGTTAGAACGTTTGTCTAGTAATTGTTGAAGTTGTCGGAAACGTCGAGCTGTTTCTTGTCGTTTCAGTCTGGTATGAGGATTCCAAGTTAGACGTTTGTCCAGGTGTTGTCAAAGGATACTGAAGGACAGGAAGTCATTGGTTTACGACGAAGGGTGAAGGTAATTTGATGGGATTTATTGGAATTTATTTTAATTCTCAAGTTTTGACACCATTCTTCAAGGTTTATGATGTGTGAGTGAAGGGTTTGGGATGCAATAGATGGGTAGTTATTAACTGATTGGATACATGTGTCATCAGAATATGTGGTGATGACAGTGTTGGGATGTCAGCTGTATAGACTGTGTAAAGGTAGGACCTAGGATACTACCTTGAGGAACACCTGCAGACTGGGAAAAGCGGGATGTATAGACATTGTTGTGATTTACTTTAAAGTATCTATCAGTAATGTTGAATGGATAATGAGGAAGTATGTAGATGGAAGAAATTTTCGGAGTTTGTACAGCAGTCCGGGGTTGTCAAACTCTATCAAACGCCTATTCAACGTCGAACAAATAATTAATTTACAAAATTCATTCACTCAGGAGATCTCCGAGCCAAGCCTGTACTCTCGCTCGTGGAAGAAAATGGAGGGCTCTAGGAGATCCCAGCGCCTCTCGCTCAGCCGCATCACTGGTAAACCATAGAAGGACAATCTCAATAAATTAATTTCTTTTTTTTTAAGTTGATGCCTTTCAGATCGAGTTCCATTCAATGATTATTCTTGTTTTCTGATATAATGCAGAAATTATGCATGAATCCAATGAATAAACTAATGCCCTTAAAAAGTAAAATTCAACGGAATGAACAATATTTTTACTTTTTATGAATGCTTGTATTGAAGTATTGTTCGGGAGGAAGTGCAGTATGAATGTGCAACCGGATTTTGTACCTCATTACAGAGATTTCTGTTGAGCAATGTTAGATAAAGATAACGAGCCTGTGACAAGTTATTTCAGTTATTAAAAATAAAATTGATAAATTTATTTTCATTAATAAAATATATTTGAGTCGTTAAAATGTTTCTTTACTCGCAAACAAATTGATGATTTGTTATTCTGTGATATAAGTTAAGTAGGAAATCTCTGTATCATGACAGAGGACGATACCAATTATGATGGATTGTTTTATCAGTTTAAATTGTCACTGATGATAATTATGTCCTTGAATTACGAAAAACTGGAAAAATTATTTTTTCAAGACATCCTTTGAGGAATCAGATATGCTAGCATTTGTTGACATCCTGTTTAGATAAAATAAATTGTTGCTATTAACTTAAGTTTCCTTTGTTTTATTTGTGGATGATGAAGTTCTCCAAATAGTAATAAATTCTTGTATTTACGCAGTCAGATCGATTCTTTAATAAATAATTAGTTTTTATTAAGTTCTTCGATTATTAATATAAACGATCAGAAAACTTAAAAATAGACATAAATTCAATGTTAGGTTACTTTTGGAAAATACGAAAATACAGTTTGAGCCTCTAAAACGCAGGTTAAAAAATAATAACTCTTCAACGTTTTTGAAACGTGTTACTGTTAACAACTGTCAAAAATCTGACATAATATTCATTGAAATAAATTCTTAAATAGGTTAGTATAAAATTTTAACTGCAGTCATGTATTTCTACTGGCAAATATACAATTTTCGAGAGTTTTTTTTTCTAGTTTCTCAACGTCCATAGGATTAGTTCAAATTATAAAGTAACGATATCTGAAGAATATGACATTTTTTATTTTATATACAGCACACTCCACTTAAGAAAAAGCGAACAAAGTACATAAAAAAGCTTATAAACAAGAGCTCTTTTCGGATTTCAAGTAATTATTTTAATATTAGCTCAAAACGAACAATCAGATTTATTGAAATACCGGTGGAAACCTTTATAAAGAACACTGTGTTTATGAAGACATTTAATAAAGTGACAATATTATAATTTATCTCAGTTTTTTCAAAGAGCACGTTCGTTTTACTGTGTAAATAAAAAATAAATTTTATTATGACAGTCGCCACTATGTAGTATATTAGTCTTCACAATAACTTTTTAATTGAAAAAAGTGCTTTTTCTTGAAAGTCGAATTAGTTCCCCCCTAAAATGGTAAAATGTAACCATGTTTATGGTAAAAAAATATTAAAAAATTATTTCTTAATGTATTATTGTTTGTTTAATTACATTTAATAGGACTTCAAGAATCACTTAAACAACATTTCATATAGGTAGTTAGTACCTTTCTTTTTTTTTCTAAAATAATTATTGTTATAGGGGGAAAAAAAATTCGGGCTGCAGCCCCCGCCAAAATGAAATCCTGGATCTGCTACTGGTTCCACCATCCATTACTTCTACGCTTTAAAAGGTTTTCCAGACAAATAACATTCACCTGATGAATGTCTTGATGTGTTGCTTCATCTGTGAATAATTTTGGGACGATACGATCACAAAATGATTGAGAGTGAAGATTTACTTTCTTACCATTGGAAAGCATAACCTTCATGCTGTCATCTTCCACAGCGAAATAAGGCTCATAAACTCTGCAACATTCAAAATCGCGTTTCTCTTTATATTATTTTAAGCCCACAAGATAATCTTGGATCTCTTGTTCTTGTAGCCTTCTTAGCTGGAATCTTTTAGAATCATACTATCCTGAATATATCCTTTCATAGACGTGGTCTTATTACAGTACCAAAAGTATTTAAATTTTTTTATTCTTGAGAAAAATACACTTTAAATAATTTCAAAAGATCCTCGACACATTTTACTTTTTTATATTCAAATTTTTGGTTTTGTGTTTTGTTGTGGCCTGTTGTCCACAGACATATTCCATTCACTATATCAAATGTGAATACCATTTCTATAGATGTGGCTTATCTTTTGTGAATTATTATACTTAAGGATTGAAGTAAATATGAACGAAACTTATCAAATCGTAATTACTCTTTAAGTATAAGTGTGTATCCAAAATATTAATAACATTCTTCTTACTTGCTGAAAAGCAGATATACTGTGTTTGTCTGGATAAACGATTACAACTTCTGCAGTTACTTGAACTGCATATGAAATAGTACTCAAGAAAACCTCGCATCGCTTAAAATCCTACTAATAATGTCCGTAATAAAAGTATAGAAACGTTAAACACCATACTTCATGCAAACCAAGTGTTTCTAATTTTACTTTCGAATATTATCTAGATAATCTTGAAAAAAAATTCCAGAGATGGGAAAATGCTGGGAAAAACAGGGGTCTGCAGAAGGGAGTTTCATGGCGTAAGTTCAACATTAAGACGGGGTTTTAAATTTTTTAGGGGGGCGCGTTTCGACGGGATCATGAATATTCGAAATTAAAGATTTACAACCAAAAGAAGAGGGGAAGCATGGAACAGTCCGTAGGATATGTAATAATACTTAAGCTACATTTTTTTAAATTATACATTCGCTTGCATTGTTTTTAAGAAGAGGAGAACAACAAAATATTTTGGGAGAAGTGGGAGAAAGATCATGCGCCATCGATCTTGGGGAGGATGGTCACCTCTGCTGAGTACCAAGTATTTACTCAAATACTGAATTTTTCGAGTACCAAAGAATTTAATTACTACTTCAGTTGATGTCAAACGATAAACTACAGTAATGATTGAATTCCCAATAGCGATTCAATTCGAGTAAACTACTTGGTACTAGGTACCCAGAGTAGCATTTGCCCATCTTTGTTCCAGCAGGATTTCTATCTACCCTCTAGCTAGAATACCATTCATTAATAGTACATTCTCATGCCTTATTAAAACAATTTTTCGAATCCGGAATTTTATATACATCATGTAAATATCATGATTAATAATAATTGGAGAATCTTAAAACGTCAAAATTGGATTTTATAATATGTTGTACGAGAGATTGCCTAGAATTTTGTTCAAATTTTATAAATTGTCCTAGTAGTATATAGGCTTAATTAATCATCTGGCTGAAGGAATATTTCACCCATCCATAAGATTATAGATCATTTTTATAATTTCATAAGGAAAATATTTTTGGCTGCCAACGATGAGCTTTGATGTGTAAAAATATATATATTTTTACCCAAATAATGTTTTGACATATAACAAGCATCTAGATCGGATCACATAAAGCACACTGTATACATAGATCGTTCAAATATCTCTACTAATATTAACCGCTGACCTCAATGTATGATGACTGGAGAGCAGCCGCCGCGGAGCAGAAGAGAAGTATCCAAGCAGGCCCCATGTCGAGGACTGAGCTGCCTGCTCCCCTCCACGGGGGCTCCTCTCCTCCACTTCTGCAAGGTGGCCTTATTAGAGGTCTCAGCTGAAGAGGACGCAATCCTGGGGTATCCAGGGTTTTAAAAGACAGCTTTGAGCAGGTCTATGAGTGGTGAGAACTACAGTATAATCCTGCTAACTAGGTAACTCGGGATTTGGACATGACCGTCACTTGCTTTGGCCGATCCGATGAGAAGGCATTTCGAAGGGAAATATTACATACCCTATCCCTATGCCACTGGGTAGCCGTCCGGAATTATCAATAAAGACCGCAAATCTCACTTGCTGGACTAGTTCCACCGGTAACAGCACCAGTATAGGATAATACTATTGGAAAATAATATTTCTTGAAAAATTGAATAGCTTGAAACTTAACTGATATTTTAATAGAAAAAAAAAAACCTGTACCACTACAACCCAAGACGCTTCATGGGTTGTAGTGGTGCAGTTTTTTTTTTTTTTTTTCTATTAAAATATCAGTTAAGTTTCAAGCGTCTTGGGTTCAGAACTATTCAAGGAAAGTACTGTTTCTAGGTCAACGGTTGTGCAAGGAGGTGATTTGACCGAGATCACGCATAACCACCAGATTTTTTCACCTTAAATAATTATTTAATTAAGGGACCCACTTTACAGAGGTTCGGTGTGCCCCAGGATGGTCTCCTGACCCAGGGTCGCCCCAGGGCCAATGAAACAGCGTAAATAAATTCTCTGCCATGACCCGGGATCGAACCTGGGACCTTTAGCATTGGAAGCTCAGTACCCTACCACTGAGCCATCCCACTTCCTCGATACTTTAATAACCTATTTTATATTTAGTATGTCGATAAGTTACAGTGATCTCATTGTTACTGAATCCCAGAGGAGCAGGCTTTCCATTTCGATTGGGGGGAGAGGGAGGATCAAAAAAGAATGCTAGTACTTCTAATTATGTGTAAAATCAACATAATTATTGTAAGTTTTAGAATATTTTTATGTGCGTACTGAACAGAACCAATCGGAAATTATTACAGTTTGTATACATTATACATGGAAGGAAGGTGGACAACGTTCCTTTATAACGTAGGTACATTCCTATAACAGCTAAAAATGAATAATGTTAAAAAACTGAAAAATATTTTTGACTTCATAGTTTGCACAACTTTAAAAAATAATACAATGTTTTCATAGCCTAAATAATAGTTTAAAATTGTCTATAAAAATATTCTCAATAAATTCTATTAATACTTATTAAATATATTTTTTCCAACTTTGTCGGAGAAAATGTATAAGAAAATCACTTGGAAATTAAGGTGCCCACATGAGACGTGAATGAATCATAAAATCCTAGGAAATGTTTCTATATAATCATTCCTGGGTATAAATGAAAGTTTAAATAATGGGAATATTTAGGTCGTAATAAAATAGTTACGTACCTTCTTATAGACCTTAGTCTAGCCAGCTAATGGAATTTTCTTAATCGATTTTAGTTCACATGTTTATTCATAGGTGTGTTTCATTTGACATCAATTTTATTTTTTTTTAAATGCAAATTATTGGGGGAGGGGTCGCCCCTTCCACCCCGTAATCTGAGCCTTTGCTGAACCCCCGTGAGGTCATGATGGCTGAGCATGTGGGTTCTATTCACACCTTGCTCAGTTAATTTTCGTTTCTTGGCGGCCCCGGGAAATTAATCTTGACATTCCCATCCTGATAAGTACGCGGCAGCAACCACAAGGTAGCCAGCAGGGATTGCTAAAAAGAATAACAAATCCAAATTGTCCGACAAGTTCTTCCAACTGTACCTGCACCTTAAACCCTGTACATTTCTGTTTATAAAACCATCTATTTAACAATTTTGAACTGTAACTAATGTACACACAGACAAGCTATTGCTATCATAGAACCGGATGTTTATTCACAACTGATGAGTAAATTACGGAACTAACAGTACTGGCAATCAACCCTAGGAAATTATTGAAGTTATACAATACAAACATAGGCTATAGCTATGTTCTATGAAGCAGTTTAACATGCCCATTTGAATAATAAATTCATTATTTAAAATTATTGCCATCAGCTAAGAATTATTTTACGAACTTCCAGTTACATAAGTAATTACAAAAATAAGATAGTTCGTATAAAACGTCAGAGTGACTTCCAACTAAGTAATAACATAAAATAGAAACATACACATATTAAATAATGGACAATCCTTTTTTTCTTTCCAAATTGTTGATGTCCATAAATGGGTAAGCGGGAAAAAATAATAAAATTTATTAAATTTTTATTTATTGTTTTATACATAGATTCGTGCTGTTTGCCTTCTTGAGAATTCGAAGAACAATCAGGTTAAAAAAAATCGGCCGAATACTGTTTTTAGTATAAATAGTTCTAAATATAATTAATTCGATTCACCTAGAAAATGATGTGGCGAGAATCAGAGTATACGTGAAATGGCTTTAACATGATTACAGCTGATGAAGTAACCTTTTGCATGGAAATGCCTTAGGCATACAAATATTGAGGTTACAGGACGAGTATGTATGTGTTCAATAGCGTTTTATTAAATAACTTATCATCAAAAGAAATATGATAATCTCATTTATTTTTTTCGGGTGTTAGTTCATTATGAACAAACCCTTGAACTGTTTCACGATGGAGGAATGTGATGTTCATGATCGAACTTACATACATACGTAAGCTACTACTTACATCAATTACAATGTAGCTCAGAGTAAATCCAGTTTGAGATAACCTTGTAATAAAATATTTACTACGATATAAGTAAAAACTGAAGAGAAAGTACGATTGTTGATCGAAATGGAATAATACAGTGGCAGTAGCTAAGAATACAGCCTGGCATAAACACCGGCTAAGGCACGTGTAATTAGTCCATCAAGAAATTGAAGGCGTTGCTTTCCAACGCGTTCAAGCAAATCTTTTGATTATCTATCATTAGTGTTTAAAAATCTGGCAATAACTATAATTTGTTTACTTAATTTTTATTAATATATTTGTATTCATGTATAACATATACATAAATAGATGTTATTTCTCAAATACTCACATGCACCTAGTCTATTACTATGAGTGTTGTTTCATAAGTACATGGTTTTAAAATTAACAAATATTATTTCATGGGGTGGGGTTGCCAAGCGGGCTAACGAGTGTGTGAAGTTACATAAACGATAAAATAATGGCGAGTTAGCATCCCGGGACCATGGGGGTCTTTTAACTTGGCATTAATCCCCCGCCCTCACCCTCTGGTCCGGGAAAAATCCTTATAACATAAAAGGCGAGGAAGGAAAGAACAAAAAAATAAATATATTATTTTATATCAATATATCATTTCGTGTTATTCATTGTATTATTTTTATAACAATGTGAATGAAATAGAAAAACAATCACGAACGCAATACCTTCCCTTACTATATACAAACATATACAGGTAAGTGAAAGTAAAAATTTATGAATATATAGTTAAAATTTTCTAGTTCTCTAAACATATGTAGATATTCATCAGCTTAAAAATAAATAACTTCAATAAATTCATTTGTAGCACCGGAGCAGACAGAATTCCAGCGAGGGGTCGTCTGTGAACACCGTCTGGCGAAACTTCAGGCACACACCATAGAGTAGATGATTCTCAACAGGGCTACGGCAATGATCTCTCTGGATTGCACCAAGGCCTTTGACAGCTTTTTCTATGTCTCAGCTTTTTCTACATCTATCTATGTCTCACACACTCCTACTTCGCCGTATGAAGGAGTTCAGGTTTCCCGCCACCCTATCACTTATCCGAAGCTATCTCAAGGAAAGATTTTTCGTCGTACGAGCCGGAGGGGACTTATCGCCTCCAAAACACACTATTTGCGGAGTACCTCAAGGGTCTGTACTTGGGTCAATACTGTTTGTCGTTTTCACGACTCCAGTAGTGTCACTCAAGCATCTACATGCTCTCGTAGCAGCCTATACGGGCATCGGCATCTATGCTTCTAGCGTAGCGCAGGTACTGAACACTCTGACTCAAGTACAGAACTCTTCAGCCACCATTGTTAAAGAACTGGAAGCGATCAGTATCAGAGTGAACCCTACGGAGACTGATACAATCCTGATTTCATTCGCGGAGAATAAGAAGCCTCTGCCTAACCACTTCACCGTTAGAGGAGTTAACCAGCGGATTTCCACCTTGATCTTCTACCTCGGAGTCTCACTGGATGCATATAACCTCCAGTCTCACCAGGCAGAGCCTCAAGTTGGCCATGCAGAAGACTTACCGATTCTACCACCTGTTGACATAGCCGCAGCTCTTCTTGAGACTCAAGCTGAATTTCTACAAAGCCTTCATCCTACATAACGGCACTTTTCTTCTCCGGTACTTCTACAAAGCTACACTCTAGAGACTGTAATGCTTCCAGAACTCTATCTTTTGGCGAATCGCTCGTGGCACTAGCCTACAAAGGTCAAACAATGGAAAGATCCGAGAGGTGCTCCAGCTCTCCTCGATGCTTGAGATCATAGGCCGGAGTCACTTTGACTTGAGTCATTTTTTTGACGGGCTGAAGGAATGTTGTAACCGATTATTCCAGGATATCGCGCCACGAAACAGGAGGGGAGGTGGTAAGCCAAACTCTCTTTGGTGGTTGTACTCGTCCTGCTTTGTCATCTATCCATCTTAAAAACATTCCCCGATATTGGGCAACCCCGTGTTCACTGCTGCAAAAAAAATACGTATAAAGAGACTCCTAAACTTCTGAATGCCCACCTAATTTTAATAGTTTCGGTTTAGATACACCACAATACAATTTATACACTACGAATCAATTCCGGTAATTTGCACAGAGAATCTCTCGTAAATCAACTTTCTTTTATTTCTTGTTCCATAAATTTCGAATTATTGAGACAGTTGAGTAATATATCTGTACTATTTTCCAAAAAATAGCCGGTAAGAAAATATGCTTGTAATTTCAAAACGGGTTTTGAATC